GGGGATTGTTGGTATTTGGGCACCTATATGAATTTACCTAGCACCTACTAAGCAGCACCAACAGATTACATCAGTGATATTCATAAGTGGAAGGTATCAATCATTTCACTAATACACACAGGTCATATAAAGGCAAAAAGTAAAACCTCCCCTGTCTTCTCAACATCAAGGCCCTAAGGTTCAAGCACTCTATTAGCTGGTTTTACTTAAAGTGACACTAAACTCAGGAGTTAAATCTTAATTAAGCATTTAAGTACCTTAACTATTAACAATACAGGACCTTATTTGTGTATCACTTAGCTGTAGATCCTCAAATCATTAATTCTGACACTGTCCTTCCTTCTGGGGGGTGGCTACTTTTGTTCCCCATGGTCCCTGTGTGTGTTGTAAAGTAACCACCACTCCAAGCTCGCCCCCATGATAGACTAAAATTTCAATAGTAATTAGTAAACTAAATGTGAGATTGTAGTCCATCACAGGAGCGAGCTCAGAGTGGTGGCTACTTTACAACACACACAGGGACCATGGGGACCAAAAGTAGCCACCCTCCAGAAGGAAGGACAGTGTCAGCATGAATTCAGAGATAATTTGAAGATACAGTTTTGTTAATAGCGAAGGTACTTAAATGCATTTTTAAGATTTAACTCCTGAGTTTAGTGTCACTTTAAGCTGACCATACACCAGTAATATTTTGTTCGACTTTCTAATAGTTAATGTTGTCAAATCGACAACTAATTTTAACTGCAGTAACAGAGAAGCAATATGGAACATTTTTCCTGAATAAATTATATTCTAATTGTGAATCTAGTTTTCATTCAGGAAACTCCATTCATTTCTAAAATCTAATGTAATTTTTCATATGTCGTATGAAAATCCACCAATGTATGGCCAGCTTTACTCTTCATGCAGGCCACATGAGCACTAAGGGCTTGGGACAGAGAGCAAAGAAAATCCATTGTTTATGGCCATTATGAAATATTCTCCATTGTGTTTATATTGACTGCACGAGATGCTGATACTTGTATTCATGGGGAGACTACAAATATGAAGAATTCTGAATACACAAGCATAAAAGCCTATGAAAACAAATAGATAACAAAAACTAGTTAAGATGTGATAGCTTCTTTGGAAGAGTTTATGGTTTTCATAGTTTTAAATTACAGAATCTTTAATTAACAGCCAGCAGATGCAAAATGTACAGAAACCTTACACAGTACTGAAACCTCATATATAGTAATTAATGCATTTCCTTGTAAGAGTTGTAAATCAATAGCAGTGTAATCCCACATTATGTGCAAGCTGCAGTTTTGAGTTGCCATGTACAGATTCCTAATTAGAGGTAAGCAGGTGCATATCATAATTCCTTCTTATTCTGTGTCTAAGGAAGGGCACAGTGGTGTCTAACATGTTTACATATTTAATCAAGTGTAAAATAGTATGAAATAACCAAGCCTTGATGATTTCCATTTGTGGATTCTAACACTGTAAGGAAAAAAAAAATCTTTACAAATATAATAAACTGTGTTCTTTTCTTGGCAGCAGGGGAGTGGCATGTGGCACCAAGCTAAGCTATCAAATACATAAAACAGCAAAGTATCTATCAGCTAGCAGCGCATACATCAAATTATATTTCTTCTGATTCCAGTGGGGGAATGTGAAGAAAATCTATAAACAGATAACTGTGGAAAATCAATGAATTTAAAATCCAGTACTATCACCATTTATGAAAGTCTACACACAATAAACAGTGAAGTTATCCAATGTACTTATATTCCATTTAAAAGGTCTTAAAGGAAGTGCACAGTGTTTTTCTGTATATTTTACTTTTCCTACAGTGACACTACACTCAGGAGTTAAACCTTAAAATGCATTCAAGTACCCTATCAACAAAAATGTATCTTATTTGTGCATCACTCACCTGTTGATCTTCAAGTCATCTCTGAATTTGTGCTTACACTGTCTTTCCTTCTGGAGGGTGGCTACTTTTGCTTCCCATGGCCGATATTTTTGTTGTAAAGTAGTCACCGCTCCAAGCTCACTTCCATGATGGACTACAATCTCATGTTTAGTTTACTAATTTGTATTGAGATTATAGTCAATCATGGGAGTATGCTTGGAGCGGTAGCTACTTTACAACACACACAGGGTCCATGGGGAGCAAAAGTAGCCACCCTTCAGAAGGAAGGACAACATCAGCATGAATTCAGAGATTATTTGAGGATCTCCAGCTGAGTGACACACAAATACTTAAACTTCTGCCTTGCCGCAATACTTGAAAGTATTTTTGAGATGTAACTCCTAAATTTAGTGTCACTTTAAGCACCTGATTCTGAAACTCAAAAGATGGTATCAATGTTCAGAGGAGCTCCAAAGACTCAGGCTGCAGTAAATTCACACTCTCGGTAAAGTCTGTAGTGTGCCTCTCACTTCCCAAATCAGTCTCCAAAACATCAGCCGCACAGAGACCAGAGTAAGTTCAGTTTTCATCACCATGAAAGTCTCCCACGCCACGCCAACACCACGTCTCTATGATTAAGCCCAGTTGGTAAAACGTGTGAGAAGAGTTGGCGTGGTGTGGGAGACTTTCATGGTGATTTACATGCTGATCATTATTCTTCTGGATCTGTCTTTTTGATATTTGCTTGGATTTATTTCAATACATTTTGGATAACACTTACTCTGGTCTCTGTGCGGCTGATCTTTTCGAGACTCAAGCGATGGTATTATCACAACAGGGATCTGATTTTAGCAGATCAATAATTATTTGTATCTGTCAGAAACCAATAGCCTGATCCAGCTAAATATTTTATGTTGGTCCAAAGGGTGAAAGATTATCTTCTTGAATATGTTTTATTTTTCTCAAAACTCTGGTTAGATAATAGAGCTGCAAACAACACAGTTTTTTTTAAAGGCAGCACTCATTTGTCTTTTGAGTGAAATTCATATTTTTTTGTACAAAATGTTGAGTTTGTGCACAGGTAAAAAATACTTTAGCTCAGGCTAATGCTATCAGTTTATAAACTGCTGCTTCCTGAGCAATGCACTTCTTTCACATTCAGGTTTACAGATGTGACAGAGATTAAAAACACGTCTACCATAATAAACTGTTACAAAGCTTCAGAACTTTGAGGTGCATGCATTGTAATTTGAGCAATTTGTCTGACCACTATTGATTGACATTTTGCAATTAAAAAACGGATATGTTTACCTTTGTTTACATTTATTTTTTTACTGAACTGAATTACAAGCAGATGTAAAAGCAGCATTTACTCCAGATTTTTATTATTAAAATGACATTATGATAACATCGAACCAGCACAGGTACATAAATCTGTAAAACACATGGATGACCTCATCTGTGAGCTGCTGCTGCTTCTACATTATCCAGTCACAGGCTGAGTCAGCTTAGACCAAGGCTATATTGCTTAACCACTTGAGTTCCACAATTTTAAAACAGCACAGGAACAGCAGCTGTTTCTTTTGGCTCTTTTTTAAAATGCTACTCGGAATCACTGTTTTTTCCCACTGTGTGCATCACAATGTAGCACTGAAAGGGGAATAAAAGTCCATTAAGGTAAAATGCCAAGTTCACTTTGTGCTTTACCATTTTGCTATGTTGCATAAAAGTCACACTAATGTGATATCAACAGACTTTGTTGGTAATATTTTGTGGTAAATATATGGGGTTGTGCAAAATGCATAAACATTGTTTAGGGAATAAATACAGGAAAATGTTTTTTTTCTTCTAATGTTTTACTATTTATTCACAAACAACAAGGAAAAATATGATTCTAAATTTGCTACAAAATGAATGCCCTATCTTATTAAGAAAACGGTGTATAATATGTTGGGGGTTAGACTACAAATGCTAAAATGTATGATTGAGACACCCCAAAATGAAAAAAAAAATGCTTTGGTTCTCAAGTGTATTTAAAGAGAAAAGGCCCCTGAGACTCAAGTAGGTAGCTGCAGTGAGATCTGCAGGAAGATCCATGATCTGGCTGTGCTGTCTGCCACTCCCTGGATTATAAAACTGACTAAATGAAATTCCAACTCCTTTGACAGATAAAACAGCTATGCACATATATTGTATATTATGACAAACAGTCCAAGGTCATGAACAGAGTTTACAGATGTGTTCTTTTAATCAGTCAGAAAGAAAAGAGATGGTTCTGGAAACAACCAAGTTAATTTACCAAAAGAACAGAGCATGTTCACCTCTGCGCTAGTATGATAATTCACTAACTAAACTTAACTGTCAAGCCTCCCAGCACAATATACTGTATGGGACCATACATCAATAATAAATAATACATTAATAAGTGCTATGTGCTTAGTGTTATAACATGCAAGGTATAATAAAAAAAATTTGGTGAATGTTTAAATAAAAAATTACAGTAAATAACTAATTACAGTAAAATACACATTGCCATTAATCCCCCCTTAAAATACTCCCCCTCACTTCGAACGCACTTATCCCATTATTCTTGCCACCTTCTGAAGCAGTTCTAAAAAGCCCTTTTTCATGAGTGTCTTTAGTTGCGCTGTCTTGGCTGCCTCAATGTCCATTTTGACTTTGGGGAAGAGCCAGAAGTCTCATGGTGCCAGATCCGGTGAATAAGGTGGATTAGGGCCCACAGTGATGTTTTTATTTGACAGCAATCGCCAAATTTCACACTCACTCGCCTCATGTTCAAATCTGTTGTTAAAATGCTTTGAATGGAACCATAAGAGATGTTCAGATCCTCAGAAATTTACCTAATAGTTAGTCGCCTGTTTGATCGAATCATTTTGCTTACTCTGTCAACATTCTCTTGGGTTTTTGATGTTGAAGGACGTCCCGATCTCTCCTCTTATTTTAAGTGATTCACAACCATTACGAAATTGATGAACCACTTGTAAACCATCTTCATTGTCACTGCAGCATCACCATAAACTAATTTGAACATTTCATGTGTTTCTTTAGCACTTTTTTTGCAGTTTGAAACAAAATTTAATGTTAATACATTGTTCCTGATCCATGATTTACGGCACACTTTAAAACACACCTTCTTTCAACAGTAGCTCACAACTGACTGCCTGCACTGAACAAGTTGAAATTTGACACACACTGTTACTAAGGTTTGATGCGTTGCTTTGCATATTGAAGATCCCTGACTTTCTGTGCATTAACCATATTTTTTTTAATCACACCTAGTATATCCCAATACATTAGATAATAAGGGAAGTTGTTTAAAAAGTCCATGCTAGTAGTGCTATACAGCAAGATACTGGTGTAAATCCATCTCCAATGCGGGAAGACATTATCCAATCAAGATCAACTCTGTGCAATCAAAACCTCTACTTATTAGTGACCAGCTCCCTTCCACCTCTGTGCATATACTCTCACCTTCTATTATTGACCCTATAACAATCCTAGGTCCAATGCATTTGCTGACCACTCTGGGGGGGTCAGATCCTATCACTAGGCTCTCTCTCCTGGCCTTCCATTATCCAACAGCTTCACCCATATGTAATAGACAAATTACATCTAACCATAGTGCTCTCTGTAGTCCAAGTTTTATTATAATATAAAGAAAAATCACTCACATATACATGTGCACAATAACCAGTGCACATAGTATTGACAAAGTCCGAAGCATGTAATGTGTAGGATGGAGCTCGCATTACGTCATATAGGTGGGATGAGCAGATACACATGCTGGGAACCAGAGAAGGACCCCAGCATAGGATCCATTACCCACAGCAGACAAGCAGTTTAGTAGTGTCACACTTATTAATTTAATGTTCACTTTACAAACTACATTTTCACTTTGCAAGGTAATTTTTCACCTCATATACTTAGGCTACCTCATATACTAAGCTAAGTGAAAATTCCCTTTGTAAAATTAACATTTATTTTGTTAATTGATGCTCAACCCCCTTTTTCAATAAAGTTTTCTACTAATTCTTACCTAAACCAAAAACAGAATAATGCCCTGACCTCTGCACTGTGCGTCACACCCTGACCTCTACACTGTGCGTCACACCCTGACCTCTGCACTGTACGTCACACCCTGACCTCTGTAATCTGCCTCACACCCTGACCTCTGTACTGTGCGTCACACCCTGGCCTCTGCACTGTGCGTCACACCCTGGCCTCTGCACTGTGCGTCACACCCTGACCTCTGTACTGTGCGTCACACCCTGACCTCTGCACTGTGTGTCACACTCTGACCTCTGTACTCTGCCTTACAACTGACCTCTGCAGCTTGAAAATTTAATTTTTAAAATTGATTCAGCTGCGTTAGGTCCTGCACAGCAGCCTTCTGTGGAACCACCCGGCACCTGCTTACAGCGCTTTGCCGCCCGCACATCTCCTCCTCCTGAGACCCTCTGCACAAGACATCAGGCCGGCATTCCAGAGCAAAGAGGCAGAACAGAGTATGTACCAAATTCATATACTAATATTTTGCATTACTTTATAATGTATTGCTGGGATTTGTAGTCTTCTATAGATGATGGCATTCTGCATTAGAGTGTGAGCTCCTCTGTACAGAGACTGTTGTGACTGGTTCAGTGTTCTCTGTACAGTACTACGGTATATGTCAGAGCTATATGAATATAAAATAATAGTTTGTTTGTGACAGAGAGAGCTGGGGGGAGGGGTTAGTGGGCCAGTGAGATCCAGTTCCAGCACCCCCCCTTGAGAACAGGAAGAGGGGCCCGAGAAAAATCTTGCACCAGGGCCCTTTGTTCCTTAGGTCCGCCACTGGGCCTATGGATTCATATAATAATGTTTCATAAGAATCAAAGAATTGACTTCACCAGCCAAAGCCTGCTTAGAAGGAGGGTCAGGGGAAATAGTTTTTTTTTGCTATTTGTTTTGTGGCTACAAAAAGTAGTTTTCAAATGGTTTTTAGATTGATGGGAAGAGGAAGCTATGCTCTACTTTAGAGCAGGAAAAAACAAAAAAGGAAGTCTAAAGCGCTACTACCCTTGCAGGCAGGGGGTATTCAGGCCTGGGGGGCTTTGATGATGGAGGTTTGTGTGTCATCCAAAACTCCGTTTGGTGTTTAAAGGCGAGAGGGAGAGAGAGGTAACTATAATTTAATGAGACTATGAAGCATTTCATGCCTAATCTGTTACCTCTCTCTCCCTCTCGCCTTTAAACACCAAACGGAGTTTTGGATGACACACAAACCTCCATCATCAAAGCCCCCCAGGCCTGAATACCCCCTTCCTGCAAGGGTAGTAGCGCTTTAGACTTCCTTTTTTGTTTTTTCCTGCTCTGTCTTCACAAGTTGGACACCCCGGTCCATACTTAAACTAAAGCAGCACACCCTTTCACACACTTCATTACCCCCAACAAATACTTCCAAGAAGAATAGAGATCCCCCCCCCTTTTTTCAAACCCCCCCCCCCCTTCCGGAAGAGCGCTGCCACAGATAGGACTCAGGTCGCAAAACTTTCGAAATATGCTCTACTTTACTATTTGACATGACTACTTGACTCTACTCTACTTCTAGATCATGACTCATAATCTAGAAGGGGCTCATGACAGGGGGATAGCCCATGATAATTTGGTAGGTAGTAAGCAGTATTTTACATGTTTGAAAGAAATGTGTGAGTGTGGTGGATTTGTCTGTGGAATGGGTTGAAAAATGTAGGCTAGTGACTTAGCAGGACCTCACCTCACACTTCCACATACTCATCTTTTTATAAGCTATAATATATGTAGTGGCGAACAGTAAGACAAAGAAAATGAAGCTAGATATTATTGTTTTCATACTACGTAGAATATGTAGTATGACAGCAAATGCACAGTTTATTATTTCAAACAGGGCAAGTGAATGTATACAATAAAAATATAGTATTGCAGTAACAGTAGTACTTAAAAGGGTTACAAATCATATGCAAGGGTAAGTAAAGAATTGAAGGCTAAAGTATGGTGTTATATCTTTGCAAAGCAGAGTGCTACAATATATAGGCACAGGTTGATGAGTGTTTGTCTCCTAATTAAAAGGTCTTCTTATATTTTCTCTGAAAGCTAATATTAGATACTTTGGTAAGGTCTTGGATTGAAACACAATGCCAAAAGCTAGACCACCTTGGTAGCACAGTTCCAATATGCACTGCCTGGCTCTTTGCTTCACTGAGCAATGTTTACATTGGTAGAGAAAATAGGAGATCTGAGCTGGGCTGCATAGGAGGCCTGATTTTTGGCATAATAGCTAAGGCGCAGTGGAAGATCCCATACAGGGTTTCCATATAAAGGGTTTGTATGTACTTTAAATAATAAAAATGATACAAATAATAATTATAGCGCATGAACTGTGCATAACACATTACCTCAACTGCAGCTTTTGCCCTTTCAAATTCTTCTTCCAGTGAATGGTTTCTGGACAAAAAAGCTCCCCCCAAACGTGATTCTCGAGTCAGTAGTCCCTAAAAAAGATATACCGTATTCAATAATATTTCAATAATAAATTGAGATCAACAACTATACATTGCCGAGCGCAAAGTATTTCTTTACATTTTTGCCATAGCACCTACAGCTATCATGTTTCCAAACATCTGGGTCGACCTTTTTTTTCTGCTTTCCTGAACTTCCTGCCCAGTACAAGATCACAAGGGACAGCAAAATCTCTAGGAGCTATCCATCTACTAGCTTAGAGAAGGGAGAGGTGGGCAGCAGGGCAGTGGCTTGCCTTGCTGTCCCTGTGTGTTTGTAGAGACACACAAATCTTAAAAGCACACACAAGGGTGGCTCCATAGGACCATGCAAGGGAAAGAAGCCACCCTAAAACAGGATATTAGGGCCAGTGCTTAGGGGATTAACTGATTCTGCAAAAAACTAAATGTTTTAAACATCAAGGAGCAGCATCCATTGTAAGTAATTTCATCAGCATTTGAAATTACTTAAAAACCTTTTGACTTTAACCACTTCAGGACCGCCATATGTAATATATACATTGTCATCGTGAAGTGGTTATATTCAGATCACTTTTATAATTGTTTTCAGGAGGTGAAGCTTGTAAAGTACAAGTGATATTGGTGGCTGCACATGCACCCAGATCACTTGTACCCACCTGCTCCTCTGGGGGTGGGGCCTGGACTACAGGATATGGTGTCAGGATGAAGAGCGGGGCAGACTGAGGAAAGTTCATTTCCCAATCTGCTTGGTGACCAGTGAAGCAGGGAAACAGATGATTAAGCACAATCCTGTGCTTGATCTCTGTATTGGAGGGCAGGGGAGACATAATATGTGTATTAGACATGTGCCATTCGCTTTGTTCCAAATTGAAATTCAGAGGAATTTCTGCATATTTGGACATTCAGATGCATGCAAATTTCCAAATGAAAAAATAACGAATACGAACATACCAAATATTTTTCATAAAGGGGGCACCCAGATGCTGCCCCCCCCTTGTGAATAAGTAAGGGTAGTTGTTACCCCTACTCATTCACCAAACACAGTAAAATTGTAAATAAACACACCACACCATAAAAAAGAGTCCTTTAATTAAAAAACAGTTCTTGACAAGTTTTTTTATTAAAAAAAGAAAAACAAACCCAATCAAATGTCCATCGATATAATTCCAAGGTCAATCATGTTGTCCTGCGATGTAGATCCACGTCAATCACTACAGACGAAGGCCGCCGACTCACCGTGTCACCTGTGTTTTTTTTTTCAAAATAAAGGCCTTTTTTTTAACAGTGTTGTGTTTATTTACAATTTTACTGTATTTGGTGAATGAGTACTCATTCACATAGAGGGGGGCGGGATCTGGGTGCACCCAGATTCAGATAAGCCCCCCTGCCCACAGACCCGCACAAGCACCAGGCCAGGGTTGAGGGGAAGAGGCCCTTGTCCTCATTGACATGGGGACAAGGTGCTTTGTCACGGGGCTGCTCCGATCAAGGGATTTTAAGGGGGATGTACGGGATTTTAGGGGGGACCCCATGCTTTTTTGGCATCGGGGTCCTCCCTAAGATTCCTAACAGACCTAAAGGGTCTGGTATAAATTGGGGGTGGGGGGAGGCACAGACTCGTTTTTTCCTTTTTTGTTTCTGTGGACTGTCAAAAGTTAAAAAGAAAAATGTCACTTTTTTTCCTAATGTCACTTTGCTGCAATGGATATTTGTTCCTGAATATCAGTTTAACTCATCCCAAATTAACGAAAATGTAGTCTAAAATCTGAATCCTGAAACAAATTGACTTTTGGACCTGAATCCCGAAAAAGTCAGAAACAAAACAAAACGAATACATTTTTCTGCCAGCTTACATGTCTAATGCTTATGTTTTCTGCTTTTTTGTTTTTTTTAAATAAAATACAAGCAGCAAAAATGAAATCAGCCACTGCTATGCTCTAGAATACCAGACAGATATATACATACATCACAATACCTAAATATAAAATAAAGCATAAGGAGGAAGTCAAGAAGGAGGAACCCTTCCCAAATGAGGAAAGGTAGCTCCACTAACTCCACTAGCAGGGAAGAGAGATTGAAGAGCATCTTGTTACATTCTTTTATAGCAAACACTTTCTCTAGGTCTATTATATACTCCATTGATTTTAGCAAACACAATTGAAAATCCATGTACACTTTTGTTCAGAGGCTACAACACTGCAACTCCTGAAACTTTGAAAATGTACACTGTACATACTATAAGCTTCAATTGTATAACATATATACATTTTACCAAAAAGAACTACAGTTCAAGTTATTGTGCAACCTTTAACAAGTAATGTGTTGTGATTTACAGTGTGTGAGACAATTTCGAATTCATCATGTGTCTTTATCACATTACACCACATTGATCTGTTTCATGTAAAACTCACTATGTAAGATTTGTAGGTGTAGTCATCCATGCTTGGAATTCTTGCTGTAACGTATCCATGTTCTGCATGAAAGATTTCAAGACACAGGCCAAGGTTCTCTAGCACACAAGGTGCAGATGCCAAAGTTCACCTCTGCCCTGTGGTGGATTGTGCTTTCATGTCATCAGAGTGGCCGTGCATTTCCTTACATAGAAGACTTTTAGACAGCACACATCCTGCATAATGTGAGACTGCCCAAAATTTCAGCACACTGACTGTATCATACACCAAGCCCCTGTGTAGTTATAAAATAAAAATCCTCTATAGCCCTTGGTGTAATAAGTACATATCTTATATGTATATGAACATACATACAAGTGTGCTGTCCTGCAGTTATCATAGCGAGTAATTTGCTAGCACACCAAATTCTTCATCATCAAAACACCTTTATTGACATTGGTCGATCATGAAATTGCAGGAAACATGCAACGTTTCGGGACTACGTAGGGTCCCTTCATCTGGCATTGTTATCCTGCATGGTCCTGAAAAATAGCATTTGTCCTGTGATTTCACGATCAAACAATGTCAATAAATATGTTTTTGATGATGAAGAATTTGGTATGTTGGTGACCTACTCAGCCTTTCTCAACCAGGGTGCTGTGGCCTCCTCAGGGGTGCCTCAAAAGTATGTGGAAGTAGGATTGTGATGTGAAGAGGGGAATGAAGACTGAATTGAAGGGGGCTCCTGGTGTAAAAGGGGAGCTCTGGTGTGAGAAGGGGCGATTCTGATATGAAAGTGGGGCTTCTGATGTGAAAGGGTCTACTGATGCAAAGGGTGAATCTGATGTGAAGATGGGGGAAAGAAATCTTGATTTGAATGGGGCAATGTGAAGGGAGGAATCCACTTTTTTTTTGTGTTTTTATGTGGGGTCCACCTTAAAATCTATGACATTTTAGACTGGTGTGCCTCAAGGTTTTGCATCATTTTAAAGGGTGCCGTGACTAAAAAAGGTTGAGAAGCGCTGTTCTATGTTATATTCTGTGGCACCATCCACTTGTCACTACAGCACCGAGAGACAACAGGAGATATACTGGCTAGGTGTGTGATGGGATCTCTACATTATCCTACAGTTACTAATCACAGAAGTGTAATTGCTGATAAGGGATGCTTTATCCAAAATAAATAAATAAATAAACAAATAATAATAATAATATGTAACACACACACCTTTATGTGTGAAACTGCATAACTTCACTATCTTTATTATTAATAACAATTATGAAAACAATAGTAATATTATTTTGCTGGTGTTTCAAATGCTGCAAGCTCTAACTGAATCGCAAGCCTCCATACAGGTAGTGAGCAAGTGCTAGAAAATCGCCATAAACATCAATGCTTTAGTCAGGATTAGGCAAGTCAGTCATCATTACAACAATGCTCCAGCTCTGAGATCCCCATGAGATGTTCAAGTGGTAGAAAAAACAATTAGAGTCTGGTAAAAGCATCTAAATATGATTTAGTCCAGAATGAAATTCCATTAACTAGTATGGAGTATTGATAATGGATATAAAAATACACCTGTCCTAATATAGCAACATTTCAGCAGCTGACTAGCAGGCCATCAATATTTAATGATTTGCTCCATTACAAACCACAGACTATAAAGGTCATTTTTCAGGAGGTGAAAACAACCAAATCGTATAACATTAAAGCATTAGCTGAAAGAAGTCCATTCCCATAACTACTTGTTAGTGACCCTTTGATCTTTGGGATCTCCTGAATAATACATACATAATACATACACTTATGTGAAAGACATATTTTCAAACATGCCAAGGCTCAAATAATACAGTGCATGGAGTTTGTATGTTTTTCTGCTGACCCAAAGTATATTAATATTTAAATGGCTTGAGCATATCCAGTATGTCAGTGCTTTCAATCATAGAGGCTTTACCTAGGGCACTCCTCCAGACTTTGTTACACCTATCAAGGCATTTTGATATCTGCATAACTCCTCCCAAGAGCCAACCCGCTAGTTGCATCAGGGCTGAGGCCTCATAAGAGGAGTACTACGATGTTTTCAGGAAGCTATGTACAGCTACCTGCTGGCCCCTGCCACTAGCCATTATATGTCTGCATTGTATACAGAAGCACAGAAACCCAGTAATGACATAATTGGGTCTACAATAAGGTATGTAATGAAAAGGGAAAGGTTTTAATCAAACACTTCATGTAAATGGGGGTGGGAAGGGAGCAACCTGGAAAGGCAAAAATAAAAAGGATATAAAATTTCAGCTTTAAAAAAGTTTTCAAACTATTTTTTTTTTTAACATTTAGGGATCCTGTCTAGTAATTTCCTAAACTAAACTGTTACTTATTTTGTTCTTATCCTTTTTCCTGTTTGTAATCCTCACATTCTGTGGCTACCTGATGTATGCACAGCTAATGAGTTCCAGATGGCAAATTGGAACTTATCAATAGGTCAGCATATTCATGTGCCTCAGAAAAGCTTCAATTCCCCTAATGCCTTACCAAGTATACAGTATATGTGCACAAATTGCTGTGTTAGCTTTCCCCCTCAGATATAACTTAATGAGCATTCATTTTAAAGACATCTAAAA